CTGGCCTTCAGGACTGGGAGGGAAGTAGATTTCTGTGGTCTTGAGACCCTCTGTCTGGGGTACTTTGTTATGGCAGTGGCAGGAACCTCATACAACCACTGCTTCTCAGAGGAGGAACCTGGGGGCCCCCTTCACCAGGTGGTCAGTCACCATCACAGGCAGGGGCCACCCAGCGCCTCCGGTCAAGGGTCAGGATGCACTGCGGGGCGCTGCCTGCCTTACTTGCTGCCGTTCCTGCCACTGATGCCCAGGGACTCTCAGCTCCAGAGGCACCAGGCAGACCAGCAAGGGTGTCCTGCCTGTCAGCCCCCCAGAGTCCCCGTGTGGGGACAAGACTGACGGAGGCTGAAGGAGGACAAAGAGCCGGACGATATGTGACACTGGCTCTGGGGCGGGTCCAGACCAGCAATAAAGGACCTTATTGCGACAACAGGCAGGATCCGAACAACGTCTGCAGATGCGATGTCAATTTTCCGACCTCAAGAGCTGAGCTGTGGTCATGGAAGGGACTGTCCTTGTACTGAGGAAACAAGCTTGAGGTATTTGGGGGTGAAAATAAGTAAACAAAGGAAAAGTTCTGGGCGGCACCCAGACACACGCTACGTCTTGCTTCCCCGGGTGACACATCTCCCCAGGACACGCGCCCAAGCCCCCTCGCCGGCAGCAGGATCCTTACAGATCTCGGCACCCAGGGCCAGGCAGTGCCCACATCTGCCTCCCACATGTGGGCTGTGGGGACTGGCGCCCATAGGCCACCCTGGTGCCTCCCAACGCCCCTGGACCCACCTCCTCAGAACGTTCCCGGGGCTTGGCTCTGCTGCGGACTTTCCTTGGTTTTCAGGCCTCCTTTCCAGATCTGTGTTAAATCCATCATTTTCCTGGCCTGTGCACCCTGACACACACCACTCTTCCCCTCCTCGCAGATCAGAAGACCCAGCTCCCCCTTCACGGTGGAGGAGGACCAGGGCACCCCTGACGCTCTTTCACGGCCTGGCCCGTCACTGCCCACCTAGTGGCTCTGCCTGTGTTACGCGGGGGGCAGGGGGCTCTCGGCCCGCCCAGACCTTCTTGGGGAATTCCAGTGTAACTTGAAGGCCCTTTAGTCTACCTCAGGGTCGCCACGCTAGCACTCAGCCCGTTAAATTGATGTAAAGGAGAAGATTGCAAGATGGATCTTCAATGGTGTCTGACCAGGGATTAGAAGCCTGAAAATGGTTCTTGAGAAACAGCCCAAATGGGGAACTCTGCTTGGCATCCGAGTCCCTGGCACGGAGTTGGCCAGGACACTTTCTCTGGTGGGGCCAGAGGGCAGGCCACCCTGTTTTCCTTGAGGATGCAGGGAAATCATCAGGGCCCTGAGGTGCTGACTTCGTGTCGGGAAACCTCCCCGCTGCGGTCTGAGGTTATGGATTTGGATATGATTTTCCTCGCTCACCATTTATCTTCTTAAAGTAATGAGCTCCCTGATTCTTATGGCCAAGAGCTTCGAGGATGTCAGGGGTGAAACTAGGGTGCCGGGGAGGTTGCTGGCTTTGGGCGAGGCTGCCTCCGGCAGGACAGAACAGGGCTCTGCGCCCTCGTTGAGCCCTCTGAGTGTGCTCCCCATTTTCCACATTAATGTTAAGAGCTGGCCTTGCTCCGGTTTCTGTTGGACGCCTGTAGCCTGCCGCCCGCCAGCTTCCTGGACATTAGGAGGCGGATGCCAGCACCCAAGGTGGAACTCCTTCACTACAGCGACCCTCCATTCTCCACTCAGGCTGGACCAGGTCTGCAGGGTGGCAGTGAGAAGCTGCAGGCTCCTCAAGGAAAAGCCACAGCACACCTCACCCCTCATCTGCCAGCATCTGAGGACCAAGTCCAGTCGAGGGGGGATGGCAGCAGAGATGCCGGACCACCCAAAATGGCACAACCATGACTCTCTGGCACCTGACACCTGAATCCCTCTGACAAAGGTCATCCTGGCCTCTTGTCTGGTGGGGAGAAAATCCTTCAGAAGCTTCCAGTGGAACCTCTCTGTCCTTTTCTCTACCCGCCTCCCTCTGGACAGTTTTCCGTGGCGTGAGCAGATGAAGAGAAGCAGGGGGCCGGCGCAGGACCACAGAACTCTGCTTTGCTCTGGTTCCCACTCTGAGGGGCTCTGATGCACTTTTTTAAAAATGCACCTTACTTCAAAACCCATGTTAGTCACTGGTTGGATTATGTCCCCCAACACACACTGAGGCCCTGCCCTCCACCTGTGACCGTAACCTTGCTTGGAGACAGGGTCTTGCAGATGTAAAGCAGTCAAGACGAGGTCGTGGGGTGGACTGTGACCCGAGGACTTGTGTCCTCATTACAAGAGGGGCCTCGGAGATGCAGAGGCACAGAGGATGGGCCACAGGAGGACAGGGCAGAGTCTGGAAAGAGGCAGCTATGAGTCAAGGGACGCCTGGAGCCCCCAGAAACTGGAAGAGGCAGGAAGGACCCTCCCCTGAGCCTCCCAAGGAAACGGCCCTGCTGACACCCTGGCTTTGGACTTCTGGCTCCAGGATTGTGAGAGGATAGACTTCTATTGTTTTAAGGCCCTGGTTCATGGTCATTTGCTATGGTGGCACAAAGACCTGCTTGGTTGAGCTGCCGTGAGGATGGGTGACACCGTGTGGGTGAGGCCTGGGCACACTGGTGTCCCTGAGCAGCGGAGGTGGAGGCTCCAGGACACAGAGGGAGGTGGCTTGCCCACAGCAGATCTTTTCGGGCGTCCAGGCCAAGTCACACCTACCTGCCTCTGCCTCTCTCTCAGCTCTGACTCCCACCATGAGCTCCAACCAACCCCCTGGTGGCTGATCAAAACCCTCCTTTAGTCTCTGAAGTGTCACTCACACTGCCCTCGCCACAGGGCCCTCTACCCCACTGTGCGAGGCCCGTAGAGTGCAGGTCACACGCTGCATGCCGTGGGCTGCACAGGCACAGACCCCGCCAGGGCCATCATCGCACCTGGGCTCCTGGAGCTGAGCGGTCCTGAGCCCCCCACTCCTGCCCCAACACCAGCCCTGGCCCATACCCCAGCTCTGGCCCAGGGAGATGCCCTCAGGCACACCACGGGGCCACAGGACGTCTGAGTGGGCAGGAGAGTGAAGAGGGACACACACCCATCAGGGCCGCCCTAGAAGTACGAAGTTGGCCATATTCCCCCAACTTCCTCCCTGGAGCCACACAGCCTATTCTGTGCACCAAGCCTCAAGTCCAAGAGAAGATGAACCTGAATCCTTCAGAGCGAACGGGTCCTGCTGGGTGCCTCCACCGGGGACGAGGTCTCCAGATGGAGGATGAGACATCACCTGGCTAGCTGCAGGTGACCCAGACCCCCTCCTCGCCCGGCAGGCTGACCTGACTATAGGAACCTCGGGGACTCTGGGCAGGGCTCACTGGGGCTTCTGTGCTTGTACGTGGCTGGTCAGCTGGAACCTGGCCCCCAGACCCTGGGTCCCTTCCATGTGGCCTCACCGTGAGGGCATATGGGATATGATGCCCCCTTCACGTCACACTGAATGATCCAACAGCCAATGCACATGTGGTGTGCCTGGGTCCCAGGCACCTGAGCCCCACTAGATGCTCCCTAAGGCTGCCCTTCCCTGGCCTAGGCGTTGTCCTCTGGGGGCTCAGTTCAGTTCAGTCACTCAGTCGTGTCCGACTCTTTGCGACCCCATGAACCGCAGCATGCCAGGCCTCCCTGTCCATCACCAACTGCTGGAGTCCACCCAAACCCATGTCCACTGAGTTGGTGATGCCATCCAACCATCTCATCCTCTGTCGTCCCCTTCTCTTCCCGCCTTCAATCCTTCCCAGCATCAGGGTCTTTTCAAATGAGTCAGCTCTTTGCATCAGGTGGCCAAAGTATTGGAGTTTCAGCTTCAACGTCAGTCCTTTCAATGAACACCCAGGACTGATCTCCTTTAGGATGGACTGGTTGGATCTCCTTGCAGTCCAAGGGACTCTCAAGAGTCTTCTCCAACACCACAGTTCAAAAGCATCAATTCTTCAGCACTCAGCTTTCTTTATAGTCCAAATCTCACATCCATACATGACTACTGGAAAAACCATAGCCTTGACTAGAAGGACCTTTGTTGATAAAGTAATGTCTCTGCTTTTTAATATGCTATCTAGGTTGGTCATAACTTTCCTTCCAAGGAGTAAACGTCTTTTAATTTCATGGCTGCAATCACCACCTGCAGTGATTTTGGAGCCCCCAAAAATAAAGTCAGCCACTGTTTCCACTGTTTCCCCATCTATTTGCCATGAAGTGATGCTGAGATGCAAACTGACCTGGAAGGGTACTGCAGGGGGCTGCTAGTTTAAGAAGTGGTCTCCTTCTAGAGGAGAAATGAGGGGGAAGGGAGGTACCAGAGGAGGAGGGAGGGCAGAGCCCTCCAGGCGGGCAGGCTTTGTGAGGCCACAGGGTTCATCAGCCAAGAGCACTGATGTCAGGTTGGGAAGCAGGCTGGGGCTCCCATGATGCCCCCCTCCCCAGCAGCTGTAGCACTTTGGGGGAAATTCTTCGCCTTTCCAAGCCTGTTTCCTTATTGGTAAAATGTGGGGCCAATGGCAGCGACCCCGAGAGCCACGCCCGTGTGTCACGTGGTGCTCAGGATCTCCCGGGGTCCCCCTGAGATGGGCGCTGCTTTCACCCCACTGCCCAGTCCAAGGGTTGCAAACTTTGGCCCACGGCCAAGTCTGACCAGTGACCTGCATTTTTAAAGGATTATACAACTGTAAAGAAGAAGGAGAAGCTGCAGAGCAAGACTAAGGGACAGTAACATATTTACCACGTGGCCCTTTACAGAAAAGAACTGCTTCCCTGGTCCAGACATGTGAGCTGGGGCTGAGCAGGCTGGCGGCTGGCTTGCTGTCCACGGACACAGCAGGGACCTGCCCTTCTCTTGCAGGACAGAACTGCCCAGGCCCCTGCCCAAGGACAGTCTTCTTGACCGGCCCAGTCACCTCAATGAGCATACCAGACTCACTGTCCCCAAGGCCAGAGCCGCTGGCCCCCCTCCTGGAGCAGCCAGGGATGGCAGCAGGGGTGTGGCCTGGAGCATCTGGAGCAGCCAGGGATGGCAGCAGGGGTGTGGCCTGAGGGTAGGCGGAGGGTGTCTGAGGAGAGTCAGTGGGAGTGGGCTGAGAGCTATTCACACCCAGCAACTAGGAGACCAGGCTCTCAGAAGACTGAAAATGTGTTTGTTAGGATTTTCCTCCAGAGTCACATCTGGCGCGGCGGCTTTAACAGTGAGATCAGGCAGAGGCAGCCGGCTGCCGGTCACTTGTCCAGACTGCCCTCCCCTGGCCGTGCTGTGACATCTAGCCCACGGCCACACAGATGGCAGGCGCAGAGCAGAGCAGAGGTACTGCCAGCTGCTCAGAAGCTCTTCCCTGTATCACAGATCATGGGTCCAGTGACGGGAGAGGGTCGGTCTCCTGCGCAGCTCAGCTAGGGCAGCAGAGGGGCTGTGAGCACGTGGGTGCTCTCTTCTTGCTGCTGCATTTCAGTTCTGGTGACAGGGGCAGGTGGCCACCCCTGCATGGCGGAGTGAGAGCAAAGGTTTCTTAGTTCTCCCAGGCTCCAGGGAAGGCTTCTTGCCCAAGCCCACAGGCAGTGCATGACACAAAGTTGTCCCGCTTCCTGGGACTGCCTTGGAGAACCAGGCATGCGCCTGCTGAGTCTGCTTTACAGATACCACCTCTTCCCGGAAGCCTGCCAGGACTTAATGGTGCCACCACTGTGTGATCACCCCATTACTGCTTCTTACTGTGTGCAAGTGTCCCTTTTGGCCACCTGTCATCCTCCCCACAGTCGGAGACACCTCCCTTTGATGGCTGACTGTCCCCACTGCTGGCGGATGGGCCCCGGAGGAACTGGGGGAAGACAGTGTCATGAAGGACAGAGCCGGGCAGAGGCGAGCCCCATGTGTCCGTCATCGTGGACTCAGAGGCGAGCCTCGTGTGTGCACTGTCTTGTACTCAGTTCCGGGGAGAAGCCTCTCGGGGCTACGGGGATGGGAAACCTCCCTGGAGAGTCAGCTTGGCCCCCACACCTCCTCTCTGCTCACCTTTCTCTTGACTTTTCCACCAGAGAAACATGAGGACTCTGAGGGTTGCTCTGGGCAACCAAGAACAAGCCTGGACCCCCGTGTAGGCAGGCTCCCCACCCACGCAGACCCCAGGGCCACACAACTCCTCGTCCGTTCCTACAGAGGCAGCTTTCCAGGTTCTGTGAAGCAATTCAGGAAGGACGGGATGACTGAAGACTTTCTAGAGCCCTGTGGCCACACTCGGCCCACCTTCCTGGGCCTTGCTGGGGGCCACCCTCCCCTTCCCAGACACCCCAACCTCAGTGCCATTCATGGGACACAAGAGAACTGACACCAGATCCTGCTTTGCTGCCACAATCCAGGCGGTCCAGGCTGGCTGGTTCTTGAGAAAATGAGGGCCGCGCACTGAAGAGTGTCCGAGGAGAGCGGCTGGAGCAAGCATGCCTTTCCTCCTTGGCAGCCGGCGCCGGAGGCTGGAGACAGTCACACCAATTCGCACTCTCAGTGTCCCTGGAGGCCTGCGTGGGGCAGGACCCTTCCCTGCCAGCCCACTCCCCCAACAGAAGATGACAGCCGCTGAGTGCTGACCCGCTGTCATCTGTCAGATGCTTGCCCAGTGTTGGCTGGAATCTTCCTCTGAAAACCCCTCTTTTATAATGAAAGGCCTCATCTTTGTCTGGACGCTCCACTGTCGACTGTCCTCTGGGCCTGCTGGCCTGGGCTGTCAGGTGTGGGGACCTGGGGGAGGCTTCTGGGGACAAGATCACAGATGCAGAGCTGCCCTGGCAGCAGTGTTCCCGATAAGCGGAAGGAGCACTGAGCAGGGGAGGGTCTCTCTTCCCAGCCGTGTGTGCGCACCACCCTGAGCTGGTGTTTACAGATCTGAGCCGCTGGCTTGTCATCATTGCACCTGCACTTCACAGCACTATGAGAAGCCGGCACAGCCACGACCCTACTCTTAGGAGACCAAGACTCGGCTAGGCTTGGGGACTGGGCCCGGCCCACTAATTAACAAAGCCAGAGTTTAGAGTCCAGAGACCTGGGCAACTAGCAACCCATTCTGTTCATCACCCGTCCGTCAAGACATCTGTCTGGTGGTCCCACCCTCAAACACACATGGGTTCCAGCCATTTCTTCCCTCCTCTTGTGTTGCTACCTGTGCCCAAGCCACGTGGACCTGCGCTGTATACTATGGCCACCTCGAGCCACAAGTGCTATTTAAGCTGAATTTAAAATCCAGTTCCTTGATTGCACAAAATGTATCTCAAGTGATCAAGAGCCATGTGTGAGTGGCAGCCACTGCATCAGTGCAGAAGTTCTGCACGAAGTCCTACTGGACGACCAGTCTGGACTGCCACTGTTACCTCAACTGATCCCACTGCTTCCACACTCGAACCCCAGCCCAGCCTGCCCTCCACCAGTAGCCAGAGGAGCCTACAAGCACAGAGGAGAGACCCAGTGGACCAGCACCTTCTTGGGTCTCTGCTTTAATGTCACCTGCTGGAGGCTGCCCAGCCTTCTCCACCTGAAGCAGCATCCCATGCCCTCTCTACCCTTTAAGCACACAATGGAACACATCTTACCCATGGCCACTTCTGTCTGTTCTGTCCCCAGAACTCAGGACAGAGCAGGCTCTCACTAAGCACTTTTTGGATGAATGGAGGAATGCACTGTATCTAGCTCTGATCCCCATGGTGGTTTTACTATAAGAAATGCTTCAAAACGCATGGACACTTCTCCATTCAAAAGGTGGAGCCTCATTCCCTTCCCTTCAGTGTGGGCTGTGTTTAGAGACTCACCTCTAGTGAACAGAGGTTGTGGACATGACAGTCTGTGACTTCTGAGGTCAACAGGCCCCATCTTGCTTCCCGATTCATGGCTCTGGGGAGCGTCAGCTGCCAGGTTGTGAGGAAGCTTAAGTAGCCCACTGGGGATGTCCATATGGCAGGTGACCGAGGTCCCTGAGTGAGTTCTCTAGGTGTGAGCTTGGAGGTGGACCCTCCAGGCCTGGCAGGCCTTTGGGTGACTGCAGCCCAAGGCAACATCTTGACTGAGAGGCTGTGAAGCCAGCACTGCCCTGCCAAGTTGTCCTCAGATTCCAGGACAGAAACTGTGAGATGGCGCTCAGTTGCTGCAGCTCAGGGTCATTTGTTACACAGCAGTGATGACTAACATGGTGGGAATGGGCTTTCTCTGAAACGTTAGCCCAGGACTTCGGCCCACAAGCCCTCGGGAAAGACACCCGCTCTGTTTGTGCCTTGAGTCCCATGTGACATGTGCTAATAAAGCACCAACTGTGCACCCAGCACTGAGACCTGAAGGATGAGTATCTAGAGGGTGGGCTGGGTGAGGCATTCCTGCTGGCCTCTGCTCCACAGCCCCTCTGTAAAGAAGACAGGACTCCCAAGGCCAGGGCTGGTCCAGGTCACTGTCCTCCACTCCCCCAGCACAGTTCACCCAAAGGCCTCGAGACAGGAAGCAGCCAGCTTCCCCACTGGGACCCCCGGGAGTGCCGGCCAAGGTCAGTAAATCACAATGAATCAGGCAGCAGCCACAAGGCTCAAAGACTGCCAGAGACAAAAACCCACAGACAAATGATGAACAAGACATTTCTGCTCTGGAAACCCACGTGGACCATGACCCAGACGAGAAGGAACTGGTTGTTCAGAGCGAGACGTCCCACTGGAAGTACAGGCGGGGCTGACGGTCATGGGGGGCCTCATGGCCCCTGGATCTGGTGGGGCAGGGCCTCCCCTTCCTGCTGCATGGCCTGGGGCACCTGGCTGCCCTCCCTGAGCCTCGCTTTCCAGTTTAGGACAAGCAGTGACCCAGGGTGTGAAGGGTTACGGGAGGGCCGCGGAAGAGAGGGAGCATGAGACGGGCCACAGGTTCACGGCCCATGTGCCCCTGGGCATCTGCGCAGCTGACTCTCAGTGGACGCTGCCCCACTGACACCACCTCCTCCTGCTCAAGCCCTGTGGCAGGACCAGGCTCCCCCGTCACTTGGGTGGGCCGGCCCTTCCCCTTGAGACTCACTAACACTGCCCTATTCAGAGCCAGCCCCTGCCCTGGTCCAGGCAGCAGACCCGACCCTGGGCTTGCCCCTCAGAGCTGGCGGCCATCCAGATGAACCCAGGATGGGGTTTAGGTGTCAGCCATTAAAGCACAGCCTCCCCCTGCCAGTGCCCTCGGGGCAGGCCACTGCCCTCTCTGGACCAGTTTCCCCAGACTGGTCCAGAAAGGGTACAGCCAGCCTCAGAGGCACTAACATCCCAGGGGAATAACAGACTGTTGCTGATTTGGCCTGAGGCCCTGAGAGATGCTGCCTGCAGTGCTGTGGCCTCCCCTGGGCAGGAGACAGTTCCAATTTCCTAAATCAATCACCGCACAACCAGTTATCTGCCCGTCAAATCATCTCTCTGGAGTATCATCCCACCTTACCAAACCCATGGAGGATGCCCTCGACTGGTTTACTCAGAGTATAAATCACTCAGGAAGAGATTTCTACTTTGATAGCTCAGGGCACGAAAACCAATAAGACGGTCATAAGGCCCTTTCTTCCCGCCCGCAGCTCTGCTGTCATTTACGCCTCTGTGATGCCCCGAAGGCCCTGAGCAATCGTTTGTCCCTGCCCTTTCTCTAAATGAAATTCCATATGCTATAATTTCTTGGATTCACCCACTGAGTGAGAACTGTCTCCAGTTGAGTGCCAGGCCCTGACAATGTGCCAGGAATGCCCCCTAAAGAAGGCCTGGCTTCCAGAATCAATCTTCAGCCTCATTCCTGGACCAGGGTGGGCAGCCACCACAGCCTCCAAATCCACTCCTGACCAGCTCTTGACCCCCAGAAAACCCTCACACCCAGAGTATCCTACCAAACCATGAGTGAGAATTAAGTCATGGGCGTTCACAAACCGCTCACTGTGGCCCCAAACCAGCATGGGTCGTAGCCCAGCCCCAGGCCCCACACTGCTCACTGCGTGAGGACAGGGAGGCAGGCCCTGCGGCCCGCCTGGCTTCCTCTAGCTTCCTCAGGGCCGGGGGA